TGATCGGGCGTTTCCACTGGAAGACTCGCTTGATCACACACAGGGAGAAAGGGTTGCCGAAATAGTCATGCACGCACACGACCACGTGACACGCACTGAGGAGGAAAGGGATTGGCTGAAAGGGCACAATCCCAACCCACTCCATCTCACTTGATAACAGAGACACGAGTGTGCGCCCATTAATGTCGAGCATTCAGAAACGAGGAACTGAATGGCACCTTTTCTGCAGCACATCCACTTGTTAACCGCACAATCAAACCACTCACTTCTAGGATATCTCTTTCTCTTGCATTTCTGAGTCACGAGTTCCTACTACCACTTGAACACGAAAGACTACCCGCTTGAAACAGAAGAAAGTAGATGCCTGGAGTGAGATGATCTCGGCAAAACCGTCAACAGACCACTTTGTGGAGGTCAAGAAGCCTCCATTGACCTTCACCACTGACTAATGGTTCTCTTGTTGTTGTTATTGTTGGTGGTGGTGGTGGTGGTGGTGCGGCATTTGAGTGCGGAGATTTCATTGCATGTGGAGGTCAGTAAGCGACCAATTGAGAAATGACAGTGTCAAGGAAGGTGATGTGGCTCTGCGTATCACAGACATGTCCACACCTGCTGTGGTTTTGGGGTAGCCCTCTACCACAGAGTCGAGTGATAGCACCGGAAGGGAGGCCTCGATCGGAGGATGATGGATTAGAGCAGTTCCGTCTGTGTATCAATATGTTTGCTACAAAGTGACCACTTTGCGGATGTCGATAAAGAGTGCAATCTTTCGGTTGGATGTGCATTGGTTAGCATGCAGAGTAGCTGTGTGCCACCCAAATGCCGAGTCCGTGGGCTTGAGCCATCCGAAATGAAAATGGCCTAACTGAGGGGAGATGGTGCCCTTACATACTGTTTCCATGTATTCCCTAAAAACTAACTTTACGGATGTTAAACTCACTGAAGTTGGGATGAAAAGACATTTACTGCCAGATTTGACCAAACTGCATTTGCTATTTTGGCACGCGCCAGTTTGCATGCGATTACAAAAGAGGGACACTAAGCAAAGAACATTTGATAAGAAGTTGGCGTTGATTTAGCAGTAGGGTACCCTCGATTTTCTAGCAGCTCAATACAAGTTGAGAAATTTTCTGGAGTAGTTCTTTTCTAGGAAATTAGGACATGTCATAAGTGAGACTTGACAGCGCAAATTTAAAATGGAGGGTTGATTTGGCTGCAAGCTATGGCTGATGCACTAAAGTGCTTCCACCTCCGCAGATTGAAACGCTTCCACCGAATGTTTGTGCAGACTGAAAGGGCAAATCATGTAGAAGAATTTGCAGAACCGCATTATGCTTTATCTCACAAGTGAAACGTGGACATGATGGCCCAAAGACTGCATTGGAGACAGCCTTGAATCGCAAGTGTTAAAGTATAATTAGCAAGATGTGGAAACGCTTCAACTGTTTCGGAATCTCTTCCTAGGCATGTGATATGCAGCATTCATCTTAAGCAGGGCTGCCCCAGAGCCACATGGCATCCCGCGGCCCTTTCGTTCGACATATCGATTTTCCCACAGGCATGAGAGAGGGACCGCGAATGAGGTGCCTGCTCACTGGCACGCACCTCTGAACGAGACCACTTGCCCACCTCTAACACCACCACCACCACAAACAGGTGTGCCCATCTGAGTCAGCAACTCTGCTGAAATTGGAGGCACACATTCGACCGTGGCGTACTCGCGCACAAATCTTGACATCTGACACGAGGAGATAAACCGAAATGCACTTTCCAGTCGCTTTGATGCAAAGACTCAAAGCGGAGTCAGAAGCCGGCATGGATATTTTAGTAGAGTAAGTGGATTTTGAATGCGAGAGGAGTAACATCAATCGAATGGAAAGCGAGACCGATCAACACCGTGAGGGAAAACAAGGGGATTTCCGCATTCAACATGCAGCGCCTCTCAAACTTGACCATTGGTTCGTGCTTACTAATCCCTATTGCTCACTATTGACCAATGAGTCGAGGGAGTTGGGACCAATGGGAATGGAGGATGCGAAATAAAAGGTGGATATTGATCTACAGCTCAACCTCCAAAGTAACTCCGACCATGAAATACGGTAAGATGCATTGTTGCCTCTACCTCGTCACCATTTATGACACTTTCGTGGCTGTTGCGGAAAGTTTCGTTTAGTCACCAATATCATTAGGAGTTGGGCATATTCTTGTATCAACGTTACAACTTCCTCCCTTTTCCCTAGACTTTTCCATAGCGAGTTTACTAAAGCTGTCACCTACAGCCCGAGAGGCACCAGAGCTAACCAACTCAATCGCCAAGGACGAAGCCGCATATACTTGTGCAAGGAGAACCTCCAACTCCTTCGACATGGTTTCCATACTCTCATCATCATCATCTGCTCCGGCAGGGAGTTCTTCCAGCACATTGTCCACCATTCTTGTAGATACTTTCAATACCTCGTCAATATCTCAACTGAAGCGTGGAGATGGTGGACAAATTTATGCCATTGGTTTGTCCATGCTTTCCTCCTCCAAACCTGCGATCTCACCACCCTCCTCTTCGACCAGTTCAGTTGCTGCGTGTCCACAGTTTCATACTTCGCCAGTCAATGCTTGTGAAATTGCCTTGCAAACCTATGCTTGCCTTTCCTGGTGGCACAGTTTCTATTCAGCAACTCTGCCTAACCTGCCCAACACAAGTGTTGCCAATCCAACTGATGTTATTGTCAATTTTCCTACTGGCAGAATCGCAGTAAACACTGCCAGTGGTGGGACAAATGACAACGCAGTGAATCACAACGGCATTGGCTCTTCTGCACGGATTGGTGAGGTGGATAATGACAAAGAAGTGGAGGAGGGAGAGCGAGCTGTGTGGAGGTGTCGGAAGTGTGGCAAGACACACAACAGCTCAGCTTGCCTGCGAATGCATAAGCGGAGTCACTTGCGTCCATGGAAATGTGGCTACTGTGAGAAGGCGTTTTCACGCAACTGGCTGCTTGAGGGTCACGAGCGGACACACACAGGTGAAAAGCCCTTCGTCTGTCCCACCTGCCAACGTGCCTTCGCAGATCGCTCGAACATGCGAGCACACACGCAGACACACCTGACGGTGAAGCGCTGTCGCTGTCCCCACTGTCCCCGATCATTCACCCGCCGTAGTCTGCTCATTCGACACCTGGAAAAGTGCGCCTTTGCCACTACTGCCCCAACCACCGTTATGAATGACGCCCCCACCACTTTTACCAAATACCCAACACATGACCTCGACACCATCAATCCAACCAATTGAGGTGAAAAGCAGGAGACTCACTCATACCAACACTTGCGTTTCTGTCTTTCTAATGCATCTGTGCTGATGTGATTTTTCTCGATTAAATGCCTGCACACTACACCACACTATTCACTTTCCTACTTTTCGGACGAATATTGGCCAACGATCAGTCGAGCATCCACCAAATGTGCCACACAACGAAATGGCATCAAACGACTAGACTGGCATTTTCAACCGGCCGACGCGATTGTCGTTCTTATTCCAACTCGGAATCAAAAGACGTAGGGAATGCTGAATTTGTGTTGGATGGCATAGGGCTGTAAAATACGGCTGTGACGTTGAGTGTGGCTAATGATGCACATGATGTCGTTGTTCACTCTCTGTATCGGCTAGTTTATAGGGAAAGAAGACGGCGATTGTAGCAAACGAGTAATCCCACCAAAACCCATCACTTCTGTGTCTTACAGGCAGTAGTTATGGTGACGCTGGCACTATAAAGAAGCATTTGGAAATCACTCTCACTGTGTCCTTATCATGCCCCAAAATCCATACACGACGCGTCCATGATGCGGTGTCTCCATCACTTGCCCTCTTCAGGTTCGGTTCCTCGCAGTTGGCAAAAGCTACCACTTTGACAAATGCATTTGACATCCGACTACTCGGCCTAGCATTGCATCCACTCAGCGGTTGTGACACGTTGGTGGTACAGTTGGCTAAGAATTGACTAAGGCCTACTTTTACACTAACCCATTTCACATCCTTCCAACTTGCATTTCATCCCACAACTGCAATTTGACCCACTGGTACACAATTGGAAGGGGACATCTTTGCACCAAAGAACTGACTTTGACTCCCCCGGCACCTATCCTTGATTTACCACCAACTCATTGAATAAGCGACTTATGTTGACGAGAGGTCTGCAAAACGGAGTGACGGCTAGATGAATACTTGCTTTACTGGAGTTGATTTATTACATCCTCTAGCATAAACCATGATTATGTCTTCGGCACGTTCACTAGAGCATTGAACACAGCATCCATCCCGTGTGGGCTTCTGTTGCCGCATCCTCTGTTTGGCAAACGAGTGGGTGTCAAATGGAATTCAGGTGTGAGATAACAGTGTGCAGATACCCAAACTACATTGGGCGCAGTTATCAGACAATGGCCTGGTAGATTGAGAGGTCAGGTAGGGATGCAAACAGGCCCTCACAGGTGGGCACTACGAGAGTTGTCTTTGTGTAATCCAACCCATTTAAGCACTTTACAGGACTCGGCCACCTACTCAACGTATGTCCAGCATAACTCGCATGAGCTGCATCTGGCCACATTTCAACCTCTGTTTTACCCACCTTTCAATTCCAGTGTATCTCACCACCTTGAAGGACCACTAGATCCAGTCACGATACCCAGGAGCTATCTCGATATCCCTCACATTCTGTCCGCTGAAAACGACGTCATTGAGAGCTGGTGATAGCTTCATGACGGCAGTCCACGTGTGACCTCGAGGTACTCTTCATTTGACTGCGTTTTGCCTCCCTTCAGTGCCGTCATGCAGTTCACTTCTTCCGTGTCCGAAAATGC